CGCCCCGTCTGGAATCCCTAGAGACCGGCTTGAGACCCCAGCAGTGACAGGGAACAGGCTCCCGTCAAGCCGCCAAGGTGCAGGATAACAGTGCTAGCTAACACTCCGCCCGCCTCTCCCCATGTCCGTTCTCTTTGAGGAACTGACAGCTGTGCCTCCTTCAGATCCCACCCTCAGTCCCACGGGAGACCCCTGTCCCCCTCCTCCTCGGCCCAGGCTGACTGTTTAGCACTGCTAAATGGCAAACCCAGAGGTACAGCGAGGGAAGGGCCAGGGTAATGAACTCCCATTGGCTTCCACGAGTGATCTCCACGAGATCACTGGCTTAATTTACGAGGCCTGAGTGAGTCTCATTTCCCCAGTGCGCGTTGAGTAATTAACTATTAATAAAAGCATTACTGAGTTAACCACGGGGGCATGTTTAATTCATGGGGCAGCCCAGGAACAGGATGGGAGGCAAGGGCTCAGTGGGGGATTCCTCCCAGGGCAAAATATTAACAGCAGGAAGTCGCCCAGCTAGACCTGCAGCCCCCTGCAGAGGGCCATTATTTCTGTCCCTAACCAGAGGAGCGTACTCCCCTGGGAGGTTACCCAGACTGCCCCACTGCTGCAGAGTGGTGCGATGGAGAGGGTGAGGCACTGGGAGAGGTGAGCCCCAGGACAACGGGCTTCCTGCTTGGTGGCCAGGGCCCTCAGCCTCTCTGAGTCTATTTCTTCTCTGGAGAGAGGGGCTGCAGGCAAAGCTAAAGGAAATCAGGGATAGGAAAGGACTCATACAGGACGAGGGCGCCAGGCTTGTAGAAGTGTCCCCCACCCTCCTTAATCTAGAGACACCCACCATTGTTGAGTGGGCAGAGGTGGAGAAACACGTTTGTTTCTCTGGTGGGACACTCCCCATTAGGATTCCTCTGGGGCCTGTGGCCTGGAAGGTGGGTCAGCCGCCCCTTTTGCCCTCTTTCCCCACATGCACTTCTGGCCACTAAGGTACTGTCCACACACACTCCCCCCACCCCCCCGCTCCTTTGTCTGTTCTCTGCGTGGTGAGCATTTCTGCTTTTGTCTGCTTAGCAAACTCCTACTTAGTCCTCCACTCAATTCCTGGAAGTCTTTGCATTTGTTCTGACCCAGATAGACCCAGAATCTGTTATTCCCTTTTCTGGGCTTCCCAGACGTTCTTCTATTATGGTATCTACCCGTCCTCCCACCCGTCCGTCCATCATCCGCCCACCCATCCATCCATCCATGAGCCATCCTTTCAACTGTGCCTCTCTGATCTTGCTGGAGTTCCAGACAAGTCTGGTCTTCCCCAGACCATCAGTTCTTAATCTTTTGGAGGTTAAAGAACTCTGCCAGAAAAATGCACATAAGCACATATATCCTAAATGTTGCTTTCCTCTTCAGGAATCTCTGTTTGTCCTTGGATAGCTGTAGCTGTGGGGTCAGGTGTGCCTTGTGGGGGACAAGGCGTGACAGCCCTCACCTGTCAACCTTTGAGGGGGGAGGTCTTGAAGAAAACCACGCCCACTGCCAAGGACAGGTCAACTCTGCACTCAACCCTCCCCTCATGGCAGTGCTAAGGGCTCCAGTGGGGCCAGAAAGGTCCTGGATCCCGACCTCCCCTTCTGCACTCATTACACCTTGTCCCTCTCCTATCCACAGAGGGTTTTTTTTTTTTTTTTTTTTGTCATTTTCGTTTTTATCGGTACCAGGGATCGAACTCACGACTGCCTGTTTGCAAGGCAGGCGCTTATGCTGCTGAGCTAAATCCCCAGGCCCCCACAGAAGGTTTTCATAAGACCGCTTTCTGCATAGGAATGTACTGGGCTCTGGCCTCGGACTCTGAGTCTGCCTCCCTGCCTCTGCTGGGTAAAAGCCCTGCAGAAGTTCCTTGAGGGCAGGGACAGTATCTTAACATCTTCCGCCTCCAGCAGCTAGCACTGGGCAGGCACGCCGCAGATGCTCCCGGAACATTTGCTGAATGCATTCTAACACATATTCTTCGGTTCCTTGGTGCTGTCCCAGCAGGAGTTCTCATCAGACATCAGGAGAAAGGGACCGCCCTGCCAGCAGGACTAGGGGCCGCCAGCCTGTTTCAGGGATATGTATCAGTTGCCAACAAAACTGTAAATAACCATGGGAACAGAGGTTCCAGTAATCGTTGCTTTGAAGCAGGGGGAAGAGGCCTGGCTCCTGTGGGGGCTGCGCGCTTCGGGCAGGCTGGGCTGCTGGGAACAGCCATCTCTGCAGAGCAGAGCGTTGCAAAGTTAGAGCCTGGGAAACCGCCACTTTTGGAAATTCCTTCACAGAACAAATTTTTATCAAATGGCTCCTGTGAGCCAGGCATTGTACCAAGGATGGGGACCTCAGAAGATGTGGCCCTGATGCTGGCCGCTCCTTTCCCATCTGAGCAGGTTACATGACATCCTCATTGCTGATGTTTATTGAGAACTAATGATTGTGCTTTACAAACTTATTCTGAAATAGACTTCACTGGCAAGGGTATTATTATTCCCTCCTCACAGAAAAAGGAACGGGCTCCAAGAGGTCAGCAGCATGCCGCAACCAGACGGCAGGCAGAGCACAGCAGTTTCCGGGGCGTCTTCATGGCCACTGCGCTTACTCCCCACGGCCATTACACAGGTACCCATCCCCACTGCACGGGCTGCTAGAGCAACCTCTGTGAAGGGCCACAGGGTGCCCAGTGAGTGGCCCCTCTGTCCGTTCTTCCCCATTTCCCACCCTTTACCTCTGTTCCCTGGGCTGGGTGACTCCAAGGACTGACATCCCTGTCCCCAAGTCCGGCCATGTCTGTCACACAGCCTGCATCTCCTGAATGCTGTTGCCCTAGATGCACGATCTGGAGTCCACGCCTGAGATTCTCTGGACTACAAATTGAGGATGCAACTCAGTCCATCACTAGTCCACGATGCAGACAGCTGCGACAAGGACTCTCCTGGAGCCATGTAATGACTCTGGGGCCACAGGGACTTTCATGGTTTCACAGCAGAGTGGAGCGGATCTTTGCAGTTGGTGAAGATCCCCTGAGCCCCCCAGGCAGGCGGGCAGCAGAATGAAGATGCAGGTCCATCAGGTCCTGCCTGATGGCTCAAGTCTCCACAGCAAACTCCAGCCTGTCCTGGTCCCCACCACCCCACTGACTGTAGACATCCTTATATTGGGGCACTAACCTTCCTTCCACTGTAGGCTCCTGGGAGAGGCAGTGGGCAAATAGCCACTTAAAACGTGAACCTGCAGGCCAGCCCATCCTCTCTACTCCCCCTCCTGCAGAACCCCGGGACCAGGGGACACAATAGCCTCAGAGAGAACAGTTTCCCTCAACCTGTGCAAGCACCGAGTTGCCATGGTGACACCGCAGTCCCCCCCCCCCCCCGCCCAAGATGCAGTAGCTGCAGACAGCATGGGTGGTCCTGCGGATGAGAGTGGACACTGTCTGGCCCAGGTGGCCGTGCGATGAGGCAGCCTGGGTGGGGAAGGAGGGGAGGGAGCCATCCACTAGGCCTAGCTGGTAATTGCTGCTAAGTGAGGGGCTGTCACTGAACCCAACATGTACACAGCGAGGGCTCCTGCTCCGCACCCTGTAATTACTGCACCACACAGCAGCCCTTGCTCCTGTACCCAGGAGAGGGGGCGTGGGCTGCAGGAAGCTCTCAGCCACCTGAGCCAGCGAGGCTGCCCTCTCCCTGCCTCGCCATGGCCCGCTCACCCATGTCTTCCAACTGGAACATGAGCCTGCTCTAACCCTGCCTCAGAGCTTGCAGAATCCAAGAGGGGCGAGGGGTGCAGCAGCCAGATAAGGCCCTGTTCAGGGGCGCCCTTGGGGCCGCACCTCTTTGTTTGCTGCAGGCGACCAGGAAACTGACCAGGAAGCTGGCTCTTGTTGTAATTCTGCTGGCACATGGCACACGGCAGCACTGAGGGCACAGGGCCAGCAAGCCTGGGCGTGGGACTCAATATTTTTCAAGAATTTTTCTAGAGCAAGGGTGAGCCAGGGTACTCCTGTACAGCAGGTTTCACGGGGACACAGCCACACCCTTCTGTTTCCGTGTTGTCTGTGGCTTCTTTCATGCTGGAATGGCAGAGTTGAGAAACTGTAACAGATGCCATATGGTCCCCATGTTGAAAATATTTACTATCTGTCCCTTTACAGAAAGTTTGCAGACTGGTTCCCGAAGCAGTGAAGTCTGCCAAGGTTTAACTGGGTGAGTGCTAGCAGCGCAGCCCGATTAGCCCAGTTTTAGCACAAGGGCTGTCCTCCTCTCCCCAGGACCCTCTTCTGCCTGTGCGTGGACAGCGTTCACAGTGGGGCTGGGCTGGGAGCCGGTGTGGGGCACTGGCGCCACCTGCCGCGAGAGCCCGTGTTCTGGGGGCAGCACTGGCCCAGGAGCCAGCAGCTCTTGCCACAGGGCCGGGGCTTGTCCCCACCTTCCTTCTGCATGTTGCTGCATAGTGGAGAAGGGGCTGAACTTGCCGAAGGCGCAGGTCCCAGGAGCACACAGGCAAGCCCTGGAGGCAACACGCCAGCACGCACGGAGGCACAGAGCTGGATGTGAATCCCTGCCAGCCACTCAGCGAGTCTGTATCTTTTCTAAGTTTTGGTTTCTTGGTTATTGAAATGATTTTTAAAATTAATGTAACAACTTAACCTGTTATCAATATTGGCAACGATCCTTAGAAAGCCTCTAAGACAGTATCAGCCCCATTTCACAGATGACAAACCCAGCACAGTAAGGTCAAGTCAGTCAACGACAGCCAGGATTTATACACAGGCTGTGAAAATGTGGAGGTCCCAGAACACCGCACTTATCTGCCTGCAGGTGTGGTGGTGCCCCAGGGAGGGGGGCACTGGGGCTCGAACAGGAAGGTGAAAGATACAGGAAGCTGGGCTTCAGACCAGCCGCGGAGGGAGGCCCCAGGCAGGGAAGGAGCGAGGCCACGGCTCTTCTTGTTCCCACACTGCCAGGCAATGCGAGTAGCCAGTGGACCGTAAACCATTTATTTCCAAACTATAAATAAATCAGCTCTCTGAGAAAGCTGCTGTCCAGGTGACGAGGCCCCAGCTTCTCCCTGTTCCCTGCCCCGCTGCCCTGCAGTCCATGGGCAGCCCTCTTAGAAAGCCACTATGCCCCTGAAATGGGTCCTGGCTCTCAAAGTCTGGCCAGCAGTGGAGAAGAAACAGTCCGGTTCCTGCTCCCACTGGGATCTTGGCACAGGGCAGGTCCAGCTCCAGGCAGGTCCCAGGCTGGCTGGCAGCACCCCATGACCCATGCTCTGAAGAGAAGGCGGGAGCCACCACAGTCCTGACCTAGCTCCATCACTGGGTCCCGCCCAGTGGCTCCCAGCTGTTGTGAGGAATACCCACGCTGCTTCCCAGCATTCAGAGTGGTGCTGGATGCTGGGTGGCCCACTTCCAAGTTCCTTCTGGGCTGGTCACTGCTGCCCCTGGGTCACAAAGTACTGTTCCTCATTGTCCTCGTCGTCCTGCTCGCTGGTCTGGAGCAGCAGCTCCAGGTCAGGGCTGGAGCCCAGGCTCTTCAGAGGTTTAGGGCCACTGTTACCTTGGGGTAGAGATAGCAGCATGGACCCAGGAACAGTGTTCTGGACGTACCCCAATTAGCATTTGTCCAGGTCACCCAAGCCCCAGCCCAGTGGAGATGACCCCACATCCTCCCGAAGGAGCGGTGCTGACAGTCCCACCACATATATTCTGGGCTAACAGCAGCCGGTGAGAGAAGGCTGGCCTATGGAGACAGCCACCACACTGCATCACTGGGATAAGGCTAGAGGTGGGCAGAGGGGAAATCCAACACACTAACAGTCAAAGGGAGAATGACAACAGAACGAGCCTTCTGCAAGGGCCCTTGTTACCTCTGGAGTGCAGGGCTTTGAGGGCCACATGTAGCGATATTCCCGAGAGGCAGAGGGCGAAGCCCAGCCAGTTCACTAGGCTGATCTGATCGCCCAGCAGGTGGGCCGCCAGCAACAAAGTGCAGACCTCCTGGGGGCAGAGAAGCAGGAAGGGGACTGCTCAGTAGGAAGTGGCTCCCTCACCAGGAGAGTAGAGGGTGGGCGTCCTGAGAACCCTCAGAGGCTAGGTCCAGAAGTGCCCCAACTCCCAGGCAGGACAGGAGGGCCTGTGGTCAGGGGGCAGGGTTAGCCTGTCGGCCTTCCTTGCTGAGACACAATCAAGTAGTTCTCTCCTTGGAATTCTGCCAGGAACACAAGAAGCAAAGGAGGCCCAGACTGGGCACAGGGGCACAGACCCTGCCTCTCTGTGGGAACCAGGGAGAGCTACCCTTGCACACAGCAATGCAGAGGGACATCTCTGCTTCCACGGGCAGAAGCTGTGTCACACTGGGCTCTGAGGACACGCAGTGTTCCAGGACTGTCCACTAGCTGGACTGCAAAGAGCATGGGTCAGACAATTCATTCTGAGAACCACAGCTGCTGTCCTGGGCTCTGGCTGGCAGCCGAAGACCTGTGGGCAGACCTGCATTTCTGGTTTCAGGCAACACTGCTCCAGTATGTGTGTACTGGTTCAAGAGAAAACCCTTTCCACGGCCCTGAGCAGGCAGGACTGGAGAAATGGGGCCGGAGAGTGGAGAGGGGAGAAGAATGGAAAGGGCAGGGCGTATGCTTCAAGGCACAGCAGAGGCAAGCCTGCAACACAGTGTGTAACCGTCCCTACTGCGGCCACGGAGTCACTGCCAGTCAGTTGTGGAACTCTAACTGATAAGCCTGGAGCGAGCTTCTCAACCCATGGCTCCAGGTCACTGCCAGGGGCCCGGAGCTGGCTTTCAAGGTCAAATGTAAACGCATCCAGGACTAGTGGGATCTGAATCCCTAGTGGGGATACCTCTGGGGATACCCCACCTGCATGGGAAGATCACATTCACCCACAGGAGCACAGGGATGGTGCAAACACAGCACAGCGCCCTCACCTACCCAGGCACTGCTCTCTCTACTCCAAAGGGCCTGGGGGGAGGAGCTGGGACAGAAGCTGCTGGTGAGAAGCATGATGGGCTCCTTTTAGAAAGGACTAGGGTTCCCTCTAAGTCTGTACCTTGAAAATGCCAGCAATGGAGAGTGTGAGGCTGGAGGTTCTAGAGACCAGCAGGAACTCCGAGAAGCCCAAACCAAACGCCAGAATCCCACCAAGGAAGAGGCTCCCAAGTACCCGCAGGAGTAGCCCCGTGTCCTGGAAACGGAAGATTTTCTCAGACGTGGACAAATGGAGACCTGAAAGCAATGGAGAGAGAGAGAGAGGGAGGCCAGGCCCTGGACACCTCGGTCCACTCTGCCCATCACCAGCTGAGGTTTGTTATCACTGCAGTGAACACTCACTGAGCACCTGCTGACCACCTACAGCCAGAGAAAAAGAATGGCAGGTACCAAACAATCCCATGCAGATGGCCTGAGACCTGGGGACACTGCAGGGAACAGGGATGGCTGCCAGGGAGCCCTGGGGCAACATGAGTCAGTGACCCTTGAGGGGAGTGACCTGAACCCAGGGCTGCAGCCCAGGGGCTGCACTGCACAGAAAACCCGAGGCAGAGCTCACTCCTTCACAGTGTTTGCTTGTTTGGTGTTGGGGATGGAACCGAAGAACTCAAGCATGCGAGGTGAGCACCCAGGGACTGAGCAACATCCATAACCCAGATGCAAGCCTTGCTACTGCAGAGGGATTTGGGGCGAGGTTCCCTTTCTGGACCTTTTCCTTCCTGATGAAAAACAGTGTTCATTCAACAAATAACACAGTTCACTCCACACACACACACACACACACACACACACACAAAAGACCCCTTGCTCCACAACATACACATCCACACAAGACACCAGGACCCATGGACTGTCTGAGAGAAGGGCTTCCCGGGTCATTCCTAGCAGCGACAAAGTTCCCAGTGCCTTATGGGCAGGGTGTGAAGTCGGCCTCACAGTGGGCACAACAGAGACACCTGTGGGAGCTGGCAGCTGATGAGAACTTGGGAGGGAAGGGCCAAAAAAATTGCCAGCAGCCTCCAATGTAGGACAGTTTGTTTGGTGCTGGGCTCAGCAGTACTGCAAAGGCGTCGGCAAATTGAAGGGAATTCGGGGAAGAGCAACATAAGTAATGAAGGCGCTTGGGGGATTAATTTACCAGAAAAGATTAAAGGAGCTAAATCCATGCAGCTTTGCTAAGTGGTGGCTACCAGGGGCTTTCGGAAGAGGGTTTGCAGAGATGGTGCAGATGCCTAGGGAGGGAGGGGGCCGAGGGTGGCATTTGGTACAAGAGGGCATAATGAAGTAATGGGGAGAGATTTTTAAAAAGGAAAAACATGAGGCTCTGAACAGAAGTTTCCTGGACAACGGGGCTGGAGAATAATTTTCTCAGGGAAGCTGGAGACGCTTCACTGCTTGAGACTTAAATGGATGTGGGACAGAATTTCCTGTAATGACCCTGAGGATAGTCGGGGCTCTGGGAGGAAGAATAAATAAATAGAGGACAAAGACTAATCCCAAAACACAAGAGGAAGGAAGGTGGCGCTGTACCACCCACCCTGTACAATTGTCCCTGCCTCTCTGGGCGCTCAAAGGGGAGGGGAATGACCGCTTTAATCCCCAGGCTCCAGCTCCCCAGCCCTTGGCCCCCAACTCCGCCAATCCCACACTTCGCTGACCCTGCCCACACACGCACCACCACATGCTGGTCCCAGCTGAACCCCCTGTCGGATCCCCCAGCAACCCTCCCTAGCCCCACCCAGCTCCAAAGTGCACCAGTGGGAGCCCCGCCCGAGTGTAGTGTGCACAGTAAGAGGGGATCTGACCACCTGCGAGTCAGGAGGCTGGATCCAAATTTGGCTTGTGCCTCAGTTTCCTTCACCTGCAAAATGGAGACAGTAACAGTGCTCCACATCTGGCTCTGGGAGGATGTAGTGAGCATGTATATGGGCACTGCTGGTGCTCCGCTGTCCCCCTTTCTTTGCAGCACCCGTCACGCTGGAGTCTAGCTATCTTGTTCGTGTGTCTGCCCAGCCCCAAACTGCAGCTGCTAGAGGAAGGACTGTGCTTTGGATCTCGGTGACCTCTGTGGCCAACACTGTGCCAGGCTCAGCGCAGGGATTTGGCATTTGCTGTGCTGAGGCGCCCCAGGGGTGGATGACCCAACATACCTTCAAATACGGCAAAGAGAGGGAAGAGCCCCAGAAACATGAGTGGCTGCAGGTGGAACATAGTGTCGATGGGGTTCTGGAGCCCTGCAGGATGGGGACATGGGATCAGCAGGTCTGGCTTAAGCCTGCGCAGCCTCTGGCCTTCCTGTACGCACCCGGCTCACATGCACTCACCCAGCTCAGCCTTCTGCAGAAGGATCTGTGTGAGGGTCCAGCGAATGCCACCGATGAACGAGGCCCCCAGCACCAAGGCGAAGCCCTCCACATTGAACTGCGTGGACTTGTAGGTGAACATGAAGAGGCCTCCAGCAATGAGCAGAACCACCAGGACCAGTGCTGCACGCTGGGGAGGAGGATGGGGAGCAGTGTGGCTAACTCAGGGGGCTCCTGTGGCAAAACTTCCTCACCCTGGCTGCTCTTCCACTCTCCTGCCCTCCCAGCCTGCTCAAAGACTGGACATCCCCAAAACCCCTACTTCTAAAATACTCCAGCGCTTTCTGAAGTCTGTCCCAGGCACCAAGTCTCCCCCGCCCCTCTGGGCCTAGCAACAAAGGGCCACCTGCTCATATAATAGGGACTCCCTGGGACCTGGCCCTGCAGTACCCTCACGCTTTCCCCTTGTCAGTGCCCTGCTGTGCTTTCCTATGTGTTCTGGTTACCGCTCCTGCTTCTAGGTCCCTTCTTAGAAAAGGAAGCTCTGCCACCAGGTCTGGGCCTGTCTCCTCTATTACACAGAGGTCGAAAGATGCAAAGGCCTCACCAGCTCCTCCAGCTTGAAGATCAGAGAGAAGATCAAGATGAAGAGGACGGCTGAGGATTTGGTCATTGTGTACCTAAAAGCAGAAATGACCCACAAAGCACTGCTGAAACCTGAGGTTCACACCTACCACCCAGAAAAGAGCCCGGAGCACAGAGCAGTGGGATGGGAAGGGGGGGACCCATGAGTTCCCGGAGAGCAAGCAGCACTGTCCAGGGTAGGAGGACAACCTGGGTACGAAAGACCAAAAGGAGCTGGCCTATCATCTGGGCTGACAGGTGGGAGCTTTCACCAGGAGAAAGCTCTGAAAGGCCTCTGATCATCACCTGGGAGAACTGCAACGGAACTTGCTAAGTCCTACTCCTTACCTAGACCTTGGCCACAACCAGGGAAGGAAGAAGGATGAGCCGGCAGGGGACAGAAGGAGGCAGAGACTGACCCCGACGCAAGACACCAGAGAACAACTACCACAGAGCCCTGCGCCGCCCTGAGCTCCGGGTGGTCACACAGGCGCGCTGGCCCGTCCTCTCCTTGCTGTCCACAGCCTGTCCGCCCCACTGCTGCGACTGCACCTGCTGGAGCCCCCTGGCTTCCCCCAGCTGCCTGGCGGGCAAGCACAGCATTCCCTCTGCGCTTGGCTTACGGAAGAGGCTGGAGACTTCCTGGAGAGCTGCTGGGTGCCAGCGAGGAGCTGAGAGAGAAAGAGCTGGTCCCAGAGGGTGATGGAGTGGCTGGGCCATCGGCCGGGTGCGCAGACAGCCAGCTGGACAGACAGAGAGCTCGAGCCTGCAGAGTGGCCGGTACTCACAGCGAGACAGTGATGTAGAGGAAGCTCCAGTTGGACAAGCCCACGTCAAGTGCTGTTGCCAGTGCTGTGGAGACAAGATGCCCCTAGGAACACCCAAGCGTGTGGCCAGTATATTCCTGGAGTCCCTTCCTGGATCCCTCCGGGAATCTCAGGCTTTCCTTCCCACCCAGGAACTAAATGGCTAACACCTGGCAAAAAGGTGGGGTGGGTCGGCATTTGGGCTAGAGTCCATTCTGATTGTGGGGGCGTGTTTTTCCCATTTGTTACCTGATCTGAAGGTCAATACCCACAGTGGTACTGACCGGATCCTGTCAGCACCCTTCTGAAAACCTCCTCTAACAGGGTGAAACACACTCAGCAGAGCCCTCCAGGACTGATCTCTGCTGGGCTTCTGGTTTCTCATTTCTCCCATGTCCTCTCACCAAGTCCTCTGACTCTGATAACACTCACGGACTCACTGGCTGCCAGGTGGCCCCTCCCAGGATGCTCAGGTCCCAGCCATCCTGCCGGGCTCACTGAGTCTCCTCCCACCCGTGCCTGCCAACCTTGGCTGCCTACCTTCCTCTGCTCTACGGCATACCTTGTGACCCTGTCACATAGCCACCAGGGTGGGAAGCCTGGCTACTCTCCAAGCAGGCAGTATGTGACGGGGGAGGGTGCTGGGGACGGACCAGGCCTCAGGGCTCAGAGCACTTCTCCCTGGGTCTCGGCCCGGTTGTCCTCAGACCTCCTCTGGCTATAACACATACCTGTAGGAGCCACTCTTTTGAGGTAGTCAGTCCAGCTTAGCACCACGCGGGCCCTGTGGCTGGAGCACTGAACCAGTGCCCTGGACAGGGCGGAGAAGAGGAAGATCACAGCCAGGTGCAGCATCGTCATGAAGAGGGGGAAGTGGAAGCTCTGCAGGAGCCCAAAGCAGGGGCTCAGCTCGGTGCACACAGCCTGGCCTTCCCTGCCTTGCTTCCTCCCTCCCTCTGGGGCAGGTGCTGGCCTCTGGCTGGCAGTGCAAGGGGGTCTCAGCTGCACTGCAGTCCCTTGGACTGAGCCTTTTAATCCTGGTTTTAGAGGTCATACAGAAAAGCAGCAGCTCAGGGCTGTGTCCACCTCTTCAACACACTAGCCAGCTACCTGTTCAGCCCTGCCTGTGGCAAGAGGTGCTGCATCCCCAACACGGCTGAGCCAACTATGGCCACCGTCAGTCCAGGCCCTGCACTGGCGAAGCCTCTAGTTACCTTTGTCAGCCATTTGTTGTAGAAGGTGATGCCAATGGAGAAGCAGTAGTAGAGAAGAACCAGCCCTAGGGTGAACACTGCCTTCCACACAAAGGCCAGGTCGAGCACCCAGCGCCCCATCCGTGGCGGCTGTGGTATCCCCCTCTTGGCCAGCAGGCACAGCACCCTCTTGATGACGGTTCACTGGAGAAGGATGAACTGGCCGACTTTCAACAAGCAGGTCCCCTGGCTGGAAAAGCTTTCTTTGCCTCCATGATTCAGAAGGATGGGCAGAGCCCGAGGCGGGTCCTCACCTCAGGGGCTGGTGGCCTGAGCTGACAAGTTCCATAGTGAGCAGGATGTAGAGCTCTGGGTTCCTGCGTTTGCTGCTGGAAAGACCACAAAGTGGCAATGGTGGCTCAGGCAGAGACGGGCCCGGGAGCTGTGCGGCTGCAGAGGGCCCGACCCCACATCACCACAGACGTTCAGGGTCCCGTCACTCTCTCGTCACCTCAAGCTGTTCTCCACAGGTTGCCACTAAAGTGACCTTTTCACACATAAATCAGGTCATGTCGTACCTCTGCTTAAACCCATTCAGTAGCTTCTGCTGCTCTTATGAAAAAGGTCAGTGTCCTTCCTGGGGTTCCCAAGGTCCGACATGGCCCTGCCCATCTCCCCAGCCTCAGCCTCTCGCTCCCTCGGGAGGGCCCTGCGGTTGCCTTTCCTTTCCCCCTGGGGATCCTCCCAAATATTGGAGGAGCAGCTCCCCACTCACCCTTCGGTTTGTCCTGTCATCTGCTTATCTCTGACTCAAATGCCACTCCCTTGGAGACCCTTCTGCCCCCCCTATTTTTCCTTCATAGAATCTGCAGAGGGCATGACTTGAGTAATCTGTGTGTCCCCTGCAAGGCTGTAACATGAGCACAGGGTCCTGTCCATTCGGGCCTTTTGTACACCGGCAGTCTGTAAGTTTTCCCTTCAGTCTGATGACTGAGTATACGTGGCTTTCAGGGATCTGATCTGGTCTTTGCAGTTAAAAGTAGACCAAGCAACCCACATCTCTTTGGTCTTAGCCTCTAACAACCTGTGGAGGTGGTGCCTGCTTGGGGTCTGTCTATCAATCTAACATCCCTGATGAATGCCCAGGCCAGGCCAGACTTGGAGCAGAATGCCCACCTGTCTGTGTCCATGGGAGCCTGGGCCTGTGTTAACACACCAGCCTCTTCCTGCACCACCCTTGAGACCTTCCCACCCACCTACCTCCTTCTGGAAGCCTTCCTAGAACCATCTGCTCAGATCTCTCTCCCCTGCCCTTTTTTGAAGAGTCTGATTATATCCTGCTTGGAAACCTGTATGGTCACTTCTCCTCCCCCAAAGCAAACTAGAAGCTGGCACTAGGCTTTGCCCAAAGGGCTCCTCTTCAGAGACCTTTGGAAAACCAGTGGTGTGATTTGGAGCACACTCTGGCATAGAGTAAGCAACTGTTCTGCATTCTACAAGACTGATAGTCACACATGGTTCACTTATGACCACCCCAACCTAACTCAGCTGTACACATGAACACAGTGGTTTTTCTACCATGCACTGAAATGTCCAAGAAACAAACTACCAAGTACACTGAGGGGAAGTGACACTTTTTGTCAAAATGGCACCAAAAGCTCTTGCCCTGGAAAAGCTTACCATGGCACTGCAGCTCCTGGTTTCTGAGCTGCCAGCACTCGTGGTACTGTGAGCCTGTGTTTGTTACTACACCAGCCCAGAAGTCCTACAGGCAGGGGAAACCCTGGCTGCTTCCACTGACCCTAGTGTTGTGCCCAGAAACTTATGCACAGGACACATTTTCTTTTATTGTCAATTACTTTTCTTTGTATTACCCTTAGGGCAACACTGATTTTTAAAAAATTCTATGTAGGTAGTATTCACTTATCAGATTTCACTTTAGGATAACAAAGGCAGCTGTTATGAAATTGTTTAGGATAAAGAAGGCTGTGTTGCATCCAGTGGGTTGAGTGTCGCTGAACATTACCCTCTTCATGTTGTCTCACTGCTGGAAACTCTTCAGACTGACATGTCCCCTGTGTGTATCCTGCCTCGGATTCCCCGTAAGCTCCACAGGCATATCCAGCTCCCTACCTGGCCTCTTCACCAGATGTCTAGAGTCTGGCATCTGATACCCAGGATCCAACACTGGCCTGTTTTCCACTCCTACCCTGAGCCCAATCAGCTCCCCTTCCACTCTCCAGTGGTGGGTACTGTTCTCTGCTCGTCCTCCTCCTGGGTTCCTTTCTTTCAGCCATACTCAATCAACAACTGCAGGCAGCTCTACCTTTGAAAAACTTCAGCAGGATCACATCCTCTGACCTGTACGCCTGATGTCCAAGCGCCTGTCCTCTCCCAGAGGTCTGCAGGAGTCTCCTGCGGGGTTCTCTCCACTCCTCCTGCCACTCCAGCCAGACGGCTGCTTGCCCAGCTAGGGTGGGACATGAAGGCCTCAAACAAAACCTCAAGGCCCACATTCCTTGCTCTACTCCAAGGTTCTCTTGTCTTCTGTTTTGATTGGTTGTGGTGTTGGGGAACCAACCCAGGGCATCACACTCACTAAGCTTGTGTTCTACCACTGAAATCCACCCTAGCTATCCTAGGGGTTTCCAAGGTTGCCCCTTCAGACACTTGGGGCCAGGTAAGTCTCTGTGTGATATGGTCTGTCCTGTCCATTGTAGGATGTTTAGCAGTACCCCCAGTCTCTATCCATTAACACCCAAAGCATCCTTCACCCAACTCTAAGTGGTACTGGCCACAACTGTGTCCCGACATTGGCTAGGAACCAAAAACGCTCCCTGCTGGCACTTGCTCCCTGGGTCCTGCCAGTGGCTTCTCAGCCAGAGTCTGTCCCTGCTTCTGTCAGTCAACTTCTTGTACCTTCTGCTTTTGCAGGGTTCCCAGTCCAACCCTGAAATTCTGTCCTTTCACGTTCAATTCCTGCCCTCTCTTCAAAGAGCTTGTCTTGTGCAGGACCCCCAACTACAGGAATTCCACTCCCAACACAGGGGCGCTGTCTCAAAATTGACAGGACTCATTTTCTTGTTAGCACTCAGAACACCTGCCCCAACACCAGACCTCAGCTAGAAGGGCACTATGACAACACACGTCACCTACACGGCGTGCATTCTTTAAGTAATCCTCTGGGCCTAGCACTGGAGATGAAACTGATAGAGTCCTCACCCTTACTGTCTAGTAATCAAGACCAGGCTTACAGAGCTAACTGCTCTTTTTCCACTCCCACTTGCCCAGGAAAGGAATTCCATATTTTACCTCACTTTCCCAAGCAGCAGACTGGCTGGGAACAGCAGTCACAAAAGAGTGGCACTAGTCACATCGCTAGTTCTTTCAGTTTCCCTGACTCTCTTCAAAACTGCTGGCTTCGCAGCTGAGAGCCCCGGAAGCAAATCCTGCTGCTTCTACTCACTACAGCCTGACCCTAAATTACCCGACTTCTGGGCTCAGTTCCTCCAGCTGCCACGGGGGATAAAACACCTGTCTCTTGGGGAGGGGAGTCAATGGCATCAGGTACCACACTTGATGTTGGCTCAGGGAGGGGCTCACTTCCCTCTAGGTCTCCTTACAGCCACACTTCCTCAAAGCCGGCTGCACAGCCAGCTCCACACCCTTATCTGCTTCCCTTCAGCCTGCTCTTACTGCCCCAAGGCACTATGCCTCCTCCCCGCTGCCCCTTCAGGGACCAAATTCTGGTCCCTTCTACACAACCACGTCCTTCTCCTAGAGAAACCTGTTAGGTGCCACCAACACCACACTCTCCTGCTGTTGTTTCGCCTTTCTGCACTCCTTGGTTTCTGTGACTGACACCATCTCTTCAACTCAACTTCAAGAATTAGGAACCTGAGGGATGGGCCCTGGCTTCTTTTCTATCTCATTTCTTACCCTACCCTATGTAATCGCATCCTCCTCCTTAGACTCAATCTCTGCATTCTTTAGCCCTAACCTTTCCTGTGAGCACAAATCTAACTGCTTTGCTGGTGGCTCCCCTCGGGATACCTAAAACTTTTTAAGATACCCTAAGGAGATATTTTAATTACTCATGTCCCCAACCTGTTCCAAAGTACAGCGATTCCGAAAGTGCCACCTGATTATGTAAGCCAGCGCAAGCGTAAACGAGGCGGGCACCCTGTAGCACTCCTCCCCTCCCACGTCTTTCATTCCTCAAAGGCTGTCCCGTCGGTTCCTCCTCCGCTGCCTCTCGTCCCTTGCACTTTTCTCTTCGCCTCTGCTCCCACAACCACAGTCTAGTACCTTTAACCTACTTCCCTCTTTCCTCGTTCGCTTTCACACTTTGGAGCCTGAAAGCAGCCAGAGATACCTTACACATGCATCGCAGGCTGAGGCCTTCGAGGGCTGATTCCACTCCTCGGCTCAGGCCACTAAGAGGCCTCTCACGATCTGGTCTCTCCCGCCTCCGCCTCCTCCTGCACCCAGCACCCACTACCGTGACCTCCTGCCTTCGGCAAACACCAAGCCCGCGCCTTTCTTGGCACTCGCCGCTCCTTCTGCTCCCAACCTGTTCCGCGTGCCTTTGCGCGGCTGGACTCCTTCCCAGAGTCCCCGCTCCCAGGCCTCGTGGCACTTCTCCCCGACTGACGTTTCCGTGTTTGCTCACGTGTTTCCCGCCCGCCCCACCCCCACGGCGCGGCTCAGCCTCTCCGCCGCAGGGCGCGCGCGACTCCGCCTCGCAGGTGAACCGGCGCGGGGCGGGGGTTGCCCGGGGACCCCGTTCCCTCCACACACCGGGACGCTGAGGCCGGGGGCGGGGTAGGACCACAGGCTATCCCCCGCCGCCGCAAGAGTCCGTTCCGCGGTCCCTGCCGCGACCTCCTCAGCCCCGGGAGTGCCCGCCGCACCCACACTCACCTCCGCCCTGGGCGCTCCCGGGTATCCTCCTGCCGGAAGTATGAGCCAGGCTCCGCCCCCGAGTCGCGGAAAGGGGGTGTGGTTTCCGCCGGAAGCCAGTGAGAAGAGGGGCGGGGTGGGGACCCACACTCCAGCACAGCCCCAACGGAGTTACGTCTTCACGAGGTCCCTTATTGGGGTTAGAGAGCGCCAAGGTTGGGGGGCTGCTAGTGTTCTGCAAACAAGCGAGCGTCCAAAGAGGTCACCTGTCTACTTTTGTTAAATTGTTTAGGTTCAGACCTGTGCTGGACAATCGTGGAGGGAACCACGAAAATCAATTTCCCATTGACTTTTTCTTCTTGAAGCCCCAGCCAGTGCGGAATAATGTCAGGGGCATTAAATTTTGACCTAGAAAACTCAATAAACGTTCGTGAAATAACTTCTGTATACCTGAAGCTTTGTAAGCTTTTTAATTTCAAGAAGTCAAGTAGAACTGGGTGTGGTGGCGCAAGCCTATAAATCCCAGCACTTGGGAGGCTAAGGCAGGCAAAGATGTGAGTTCGAGGCCAACCTGGACTACATGATGAGTTCAAGGCCAGCTCAAACAACATAGTGAAATGTTTAAAAAAATAGTAAAATTTAATTTTTAAAAATTCTAAGAGGAGGTGGTAAGTTTCCTGTCGAGAATCTAGGTTGTTCATAAATGAGAGTAACAAATACTACGTCATAGTAACCAAAGAGGAGATTACAGTTACCTCAAAATGTCAGCCTAGGGCATTTGATTCATCTTGTAGGATAGATTAAAAAGGGCAGCATTTGTGGACAAGGAGAGCTATTTTTAAAGTGAGCAGGTGAGGGCTCCACACTGAGGCTCACTTTCGTGCTTTTTGCCCTTCTCTGGCTTCTTAAAAAGGGCAGCATTTGTGGACAAGGAGAGCTATTTTTAAAGTGAGCAGGTGAGGGCTCCACACTGAGGCTCACTTTCGTGCTTTTTGCCCTTCTCTGGCTTCTTCCTGCATTCTGCACAACAGACTGGCTGCAAATATGGATCCTTACACATGACTCAGTTGGGTTCCTGGCCCCTCTAAATAGAAGGCCCAAGTGTAAGCAATGCTCTCTGCAAATTGCTGTTGCCTCTGCCAGCTGGCATTACGTAGGCATTAGTTCATTCAGTGCTTACCAAGCACCTACAGTGGTACCCATCACTACCCAAGGTCTTGGCTTCATTCAGTAGTAAAGGCCTGAATTGCATGTAATTTCTATGCCTTTTGAAAGAGCCTGTCCTCACCCCTTCTCTCTGAGGCAAGAGAAAATACTTGTTTTCATCATTTCTCTCATTCAGGCTGCCCAACTATCAAGGCCATGGATTGGAAAAACAGCCTAAAGCACCAGTTGGAAGGCTGGGCACTACGCACAGGCGACACACTGGCTGTGGAACATGAGGAACATGTCTTCTTTGTAAGGCCTAAGTACTCAAGCTGTTCCCAGGGGAAGAGGACACGTTCATGAGCCTGTACAATATGGCAGTGCCGAGCAGGAAATACTTTGTGCACTGCAACAGTCTGCGAGCACCCTTACACAACAGGCGCGTGTCTCAAGTGTGTAGACGAGGCAGAGGAAGGTGCCCTCAAGGAAGTGGCTGCGGGGCCAGGCTTAATGAGATGAAGACCGCCAGGGTGACTCTCTACCCTTGGCAGGGAGCAAGTACAGACAAACAGCTTTTAATGGAACCAGTTTGTACAGGAAAGAGTATTTATTGAAAATGTGGTTACTGACAGGAGGCTCCTGCTGCTTTCTGGTTACACTCTTGGCTCATGATTGTGAGCGCCCCCGCCCCCAAGTGTTCCATCCTAGGATAGGTAGATGTTATATAAATATATATACATGTCTGTATAAGTATGGCCTATAGTAAAGAAAATATATAGTACACTCTTCATTGGGTAGTACCTACCATGCCAGGCTACAAATACTGAATGCCACTGTGTTAACATTTGTCCAAGGAGAGACAGGCTGAGTGTGTTTCAAGTGCTGCAGCACCAGGAAAGCCCCATGGCACAGGAGCGACCTCAGCCAGCTCCCTTAAATTGCAGCCAGTGGTAGAAACCACAGAACAAGGAAGGAGAGGAAGGGAAGGGAAACTTCCTGGAGTCTGGAAGGCCAAAGGGAAGCAACCTGCAGGGAGCTGCAGTTCAGGTTAGTGGGAGATTTCTTCCTTGCGGAGGGAAAGCTATCAACGTGGGACTGCAGCTGGAATCTAGTGACCTCACTACAGTCTAGCCCTGGTCTTGGCTGGGCTTTCCCTGCAGTGTTGCTGGAGATTAAGGAGACAGGATTTAGCCTGTCGGTCTCTGCCTGGCCAGCACGAGATGGAGAGACTGTAAGGAAGGAGAACTTTCCACCTGCCCTGATGCCTGCATGAGCAGGAGCTGACAGCTTTAGACCAGAGATGCTACAGACAAACCTCAGGAACAGCAACGTCTCGGCACCAGATGAGGCTAGAGCGAGCCCTCACAAAGAAGACGAAAGCAAAGGCCCCACACCTGTCCTCAGATCTGAGCCACAGTCACTCCAAGGCTCTCAACACGCCCAGTGTGCTGGTCTTTTGTGGGCCAGTGCTGGCTTACATGGGATCCTGCCCACCAGAGAGCAGGCTCAGGAAGCAAAGGAAGATGACTGCTGTTAAATCCAGTTCACACTGCGGCCTGGGCGCTGGCAGGCTGCTGGTCATTCCTCATGGCCGAGTCCCAAACTCCACAGTGATGGAGAAGGCAGAGTGCCTGCCTTCATGACTCCTAGTGGGCAGGGACCAAGAGGAATGTTGGTGGTCCAAAGTGGGTTGGACGAGCGGCTGGCATTCACTGGCCACCACAATCACTACAGATTCCATACAAGCAAATGACAAGGCACCAGACTGAGTGTCACTCCTGGGCCCCCCTCCTGTCCTGAGTACTGTGGTCTCTGGCTCCAGGCTCAGCCATAGTGATACACAAAGTCGTAACTGCTGGGCTCCTTGGGCACGGGTGGTGGCGCTTCAGGAATCTGGATGTTTTCCAGGTCGAGGAGCCGCAGCTTCATCTCCATGCTCAGCAGCGTGTCCAGATCACTCTTGGTCAGCTCACTGGACATGTCCTTCCCCAGAAGGGCACTGAGGCCATCAATCCAGATGCAGTACTGTGGGAAGCAAGTTGCAAAATGTTATATGGCAGTTCCAGGGCTGCAGATCCTGCCAGGGTCCTCGTTCAGATGGGACTTACATTGTCCCTTTTGGCACTACTCAGAAAGCAAAGATAAACTGGGAGGTGATTATTAGTTTTTCAATAGTCTTGGTATTTATGAAGGGCTTACATTAAAACTCCTTTCAATAATAGGAAATGTGACCTAAAAATGCAATGAAAATTGGGAGGATCAGCTACCTGAAGTTAGGTACAAAATTAGAAACAACTGCGGTGGCCGGCCAGTGACCGCCAGCCACTCTCTCAAATTACCAATGGGAAGGGGGAAAACACATACCAGGTTAGGGAAAAAAAGCACAACACAAACAGGAATACCGTAGGATCTGTTTTGTTTTAAAAAATAGACAAAAAACTGGGCAGGAGGACGTCAGGATGAGGGAACAACACAGCACTCCCTGGCCCTTCCTGCTCCCTCTCGTGCTGTCTCCCTCTGCTGACGCTTTGCTCACCTGGTTCTCCACCTGCTCCTCACTGCCTGTCAAGAAGACTTCACTGCAGCTCAGACTCTGCCTATGCACCTCTTCCAGAAGCCTCCAGTTCCCACTGGTAGCTCTGAGAGCTTAATGAGCCCGCAGGACTCCACTGCAGGTCTCACTTGGTCCAGGCTAATATTTTCCAAGGCTGCAGGGGAACTGCAAGCCCCTTGTCAGAAGAACTAGGTCCATCTGGTTTCAAAGCCCAGGCAACATGTGACTGCGTACCCCTGTCATGTCTGTGTAGGAGGCCTTGGTGAGACTGAAGAGAGGAGGATTTTCTGAGTCCCAGGCAAATAAGTTATCCTGTCTTTCTAATGACAACATCCGGCTGTTGCTGAAAAGTCATGTGTAAGGGATGAAAGGCTCTGGGAGGCAGGTCTTGTATCCACGGATGCTTTGTGGTCCACCGTGACCACCTGCCTTTAAGGGGATGCGCCTGTGTTGTGTGCTGAAGAGGCCACAGGGCTGTGTTGTGCAAGGCATGCTCACCTCGTACTTATTGGGAGCAATGAAGTTTAAGGTCTCATCAGGGTCATACAGGATGGAGAAGGCCAATTCCAACACCTCCTAGAGGAGAAAGGGTTTCAGTTACTTGGAATGGCCTGAAGTCTGAATACCAAAATCTTGGCCAAGTCCTAGTAGCCTGGCTGATCACCCAATGTGTCCGTTTAGATATGACACCCCCGAGCCCTAGGCATGCACACAGAAATAACTAGGAATGAGGCCCAACCTTAACCAACCCTAGCTCATCCAGCCCTTGCCCACATCATACCGAGGACATCATGATACTACAAAGATGGGAGAAAAATCACTTCCGACACTCAGTGCCCTTGAATGCCAGAGGTCATGGCTGCACGTCACCTAAAAGTGTTCCAGATCTTTTATTTTGCGGTACTGGAAATTGAACTGAGGACCTT